AGTTTTATTACAGTAGAAACACTTTCTTGTTTCTACTTTTGACTTATTATTTCCTTTCCATTTTTTCTTATTCTTAGCTCCATGATTAAACTAATTTCCTTTACCAAGTTGATTGGACTTGACTCTACCTTTTACAAATAGGTTATTGCCATTTCTTTTATGGACCTTAAGCTCTAACTCCTTAGCCTTAAGTTCGGCTATGATCATATCTAAACTAGGTACAGTACTAGAGTACTGTAGTGCATTCTTGACTACTTGATAGTTATCAGTCAGTGAATTTAATAAGATCATGGCAAGACTAGTTTCTCCTAACTCTTAAAGATCAGAGTCATCTTTAAGAATTCATCTAAATTATCCTTAATAGATTAGAATTGTCCATTTTATAAGAGAATAATGCACCTTTCAAGAAAGCAAGATCGGTGAAGATTGTAATGCATACAGAGATTCAAGATTACCCCACAGTTAAAGAGGAGTTTCGAGTCCATCTACCTTTCATAGTACACTGTCTGACAAGTTGATCACGATCAAGTTGTAAGCTTCCTCATTGATCTCCTCATTCTTCTTTAATTTCTCCTCTAACCAGTTCTTGGCGTCCTTCTCCAATGTGATAGCTACTTTGTTATGAGATAGAAGAGCTTTCATCTTCTTCTTCCAACTTCCGAAATCGATCTTCCTATCAAATTGGGTGATCTCCAACCGAGTGGTGGTTGTAGTTGTCATGGTGTGGTGTTTGATTTTAGGGATTACCCGACTTCAAACCCTAAGATTTTATCTGAGATTTTCACAATCCTAGAAACCTTAGATTTTTCCCGAAATGTTGTCAAGATTGACAAATTTCTCTCAAATTCCAGATCTCCAACCTTCTACGATGACCTAGGACTATCAAGATTGAGAAACCCCTAAAATCGACAAAAAACCCTATATCTCTAAATCTGATCAAATTTTAGAAACACAAGATTCTAATCTAGACACCGAGAGCTCTGGTACCAATGTTATGAATTAATCCACAAACTCCAAACCTAAGACACACAATCAATCACACAAGAACAAGAAAAGAACATGGCGATTTACAGTGGTTCACTTATCCAATGTCTGGATAAGCTACATCCATGTTGAGCTACAGAAATAGAGGAGCTCACTACATTAATATTACTCAAGAATCACAGTTACAAACCCACAAAAGAACATCCTACAGAAAATACTTTTGAATCAAGATCAACCCGTAATTGACCCCTAGAGAATCTCACCCTGGAAACTCCAATCAAAGAGATCTAACCCTCTTACAGAATGATTATAGCCTAATCACTCAATCTACCCAGTTACAACAAGTTTAGATCAAGAAATTTCCTAAACCGTAGCTAAGAACTTTTGCTCGATGAAGAAGATGGCTTGCTTGATTGAATCTGTTGAATATGTGAGTTTATATACCGTTGACCAAGAGACATATTGTAGCCGTTGGATTAGGGAATCATTGATGACCATGATTCACTCAACCATGCTTCAAAATGACACCATCCAACTTAAACCCAAAGTGACATCGTTTTCAAGCTTCCATTTCAACAACAACTCTAGTAAAATAAATAATAATCACCATAAAAACTTCTTATTAAAGATTACACAAATGTTTTTAAATCCAAAGCAATATAAAATAAATATAACAACAATTCTAGATTTAAGAATAGCTTGGTGGTGCATTTAAAATTGTACATAATCCGCCATTAAAAATAAATCCATTTACTATTCATAGTTTAAATCAATTAGCTTAGGGTTTTTTGTTTTTTCTAGTTACATAGTTAGTTTGTGTTTAAAATGATTAATGATAACATTTTTCTTTGAATTTTTGGGTTCAAATTTTTGGATCACCTATTATAATAACATTACGACTTATCTAGTCTTTTGAACTTATAAAGTGTTCAATAGATCTATAAGATGCGCAAATTGGCCGTCAACGACTACAAGAACAAGAAAATAACACCCTCAATTAACGAGTAAAGACAAATTGAAGGTCTCGTCTAGTCCACTCAAATTTGGTGGGCACTGTTTTTCTACCCTCAACACCACACGTGAAGATATTATTTTATTAACAATAAAAAATATACTTCAATTCAGAGATATTCTCCCTGTACACGTGGTGTGTGTGACGTAGTAGTAGTACTAGCATTGGTGCCGATGCCCAATCCTAAATTAATCGTTCTCGTCTGAGGCTAGTTTTGTAATTTACCAAATGGTTTTTATTAAATTTGTAGAACTGATGATTTCTCATAAAGATGATATAATATTTTATTTAATAAGAGTAATGTTATATTTACATTACTCTTTACATCATTTTTATTACATCATGATGTGGCATATGCTACATCCACATAAATTTTTAATTATTTTGAATTTTTAATATTATAATAAAATTATTTTTACTAAAATAGTCATAGTGTAATGAAAATGGTATAAATGATGATGTAAATGTAGTATTATCCTTTCAATAAAATAAAACTATACAGTAGTTTAATAACTTTTTTATAATTGTACTTGTATTATATTATCCAATAAAGAACCAATATTACTTAAATTATATAAACATATTTAATGCTGTTGATGTATGTGGTCCGCATCAACCAATTTTGTAGTAATAATGACTTCATTTGATACAGGAGACATTTATACAAATTTTTCATATAAATAAATATAATATTATTTTAATTGATACATGATTCACTTATTTCACTGTCTATAAAGTCAATTTATAATATAGAAAATTTTGTACAAAGAGCTTCTGGGTAACCTTACTCTATTACTATTTTCTGTAATGCATCCAGCGTTTGGTTAATTTTTTTTCATATGTGATACTAATAACAATTACTAGGCTAGGGCACCCAGGACAGGAGTTGGTTAAATTTTTGTTAGGGGTTTTATAGCGTACAAAACCCTTGTTTTAATACAATCATACACCGCTTAATCCGACCCACCACAATCCAATCCGGCTGATCACTGGTTGTCAGTCACTGGCTCTAAGCAGTATCAAGAGGCCGGGGTGACTTGAACCCCAGGCGCACAATAGCAAATTGTAAACAATCACTCTCCTGACTCCTATAAAATCTCTCAAATGATTTCCTTCATTTCCTTTCCAGCTGTCTCTTATCTCTTAACTAGGCACGAATGGCGGCGGCNGCTTGATACTTTCTCTTAAACCTTCAATACAAACTCAATAAGGATCCTACTCTTTCAACAATAAAATTCACATCTAGAGTAAGGATTCTCACCTTTAAGTGCTTAGGATCAACTTGTATCAATTTCTAGTCAAAAGCTCTTCAAAGATCCTTGGAAAATTGAATGAAAATTTGAGAGAATTGAAGGATGAAAGAGGCAGTGGAGAAGAATGAATGGAAGGGTTTCTAAAGCTAAACCCTTAATAACTCACATTTTCTCCACTCTTTCCCAATATACCCTTGCTCCTTCTTTGAAATTCCACCTATGACCTTTCATTCTTTGCAAAAACATCCCCATTCAAACCATTCTCCATGCAATTTCCTTGCATTTCACTCCCTACTTTTCCTGCTAATTAGAGGTAGAATGGTCATTGAGTCTCAAAAGGAAGAATTCTCTAAATCTCAAGGGAAAATTTCAGCCGAGTCTTCGCTGCAGCAAAGCTATTTCTTCGCCCCGGCGAAAACTCACAGCAGCTACACGAGGGTTGTAGCACTTCATCGCCGCGGCGAAGCTTCTTCTTCGCCCCGGTGAAGACTATAACATCAAGATTTCGCCAAGTCTTACAAATTTTTAGGGCAACCACTCAACCAAACCAATACACCCTTTCAACCAAGGGTCAACCAAACAATATTAACAACATACAGACTCAAATGAGGATAAATCAATAAACATTCAAGCTGTTCATCAAATTTTCACTACGTACCTTAAGTGGGGCTTTACAATAACACCCTTAATTAACGAGTAAAGACAAACTGAAGGTCTCGTCTAGTCCACTCAAATTTGGTGGGCACTGTTTTTTTACCCTCAACACCACACGTGAAGATATTATTTTATTAGCAATAAAAAATGTACTTCAATTAAGAGATATTTTCCCTGTACGTGTGGTGTGTGTGACGTAGTAGTAGTACTAGCATTGGTGCCGATGCCCAATCCTAAATTAATCGTCCTCGTCTGAGGCTAGTTTTGTAATTTATCAAATGGTTTTTATTAAATTTGTAGAACTGATGATTTCTCAAAAATATGAGATAATATTTTATTCAATAAAATAAAACTACACAGTTATGACTTAATAACTTTTTTATAATTGTACTTGTATGATATTATCCAATAAAGAACAATATATTACTCTTAAATTATATAAAGGGAATATTAGTTTTACAAAGATACATATAAAAAGGAATATACAAAGATAAATCCTACATTTGAAAGAAGAAAAAAAAAAGAGAGAAAGACAATAATGAAGATTAAGAGTAGGATTTACTTTTACATACATTTTTGTAAGGCTAATATTTCTCATTATATAAACATATTTAATGATGTTGATGTATGTGGTTCTTATCAACCAATGTTTTAGTAATAATGACTTCATTTGATACAGGAGACATTTATACAAATTTTTCATATAAATAAATATAATATTATTTTAATTGATACATGATTCACTTATTTCACTGTCTATAAAGTCAATATATAATATAGAAAATTTTGTACAGAGAGCTTCTGGCTAACCTTACTCTATTACTATTTTCTGTAATGCATCCAGTGTTTGGTTAATTTTTTTTAATATGTGATACTGAGAACAATTACTAGGCTAGGGTACCCAGTACAGGAGTTGGTTAAATTTTTGTTAGGAGTTTTACAGCGTACAAAACCCTTGTTTTAATACAATCATACACCGCTTGATCCGACCCACCACAATCCAATCCGGCTGGTCACTGGTTATCAGTCACTGGCTCTAAGCAGTATCAAGAGGCCGCGGTGACTTGAACCTCAGGCGCACAATAGCAAATTGTAAACAATCACTCTCCTATAAAATCTCTCAAATGATTACCGTCATGTCCTTTCCAGCTGTCTCTTATCTCTTAACTAGTCACGAATGGCGGCGGCTGCAGCGACATCCTTCACTCCCTCTCTCTCAACACCTGCAACATCTTCTTCTGAAACCCTAAAGCCAGCCTTCACAACTCTCAACCTAGGGTTTCTCTCGTCGACCTCAAAGTCATTGAGAGCTATGAAAGCTACCACCGGTGGAAATGGTGTCGGTGTGGGGTCAGCTCTCGGTGTGCGCATGGTGTCGATGCCGACGATTAAGACTCCTACCTCTCTCGATTTCGAGACCTCTGTCTTCAAGAAGGAGAAGATCTCTCTCGCTGGCCACGACGAGGTATAATTACACTTCAGTTTGTTTTTATTAGTTTTTGTTTGTTTGTGATTGTGTTGTGAGATTTGATAACTAAATATTAATATATGGAATTTGTTAATTTTGTAGTACATTGTGAGAGGAGGAAGGGATTTATTCAAGTTGCTGCCTGATGCATTCAAGGGGATTAAGCAGATTGGCGTTATCGGTTGGGGTTCTCAGGTATTTTGAACATTTTCTTAATCAGCATTTTACTTTGAAGATACGCATCTTTGGGGCGTTACATTTAATTGTTATGGTGACTGTGGAATTTTTTCCAGTACTATTATCTAACCTATACTTATTGAAAATATTGATTCATAGGATGGCTAATGGATCTGTTAATTTTTTTTGCATGTGTTATAAAATTATACAGCCGAATCATTTATATTGTATTTCGCTTGAGTTCTCGTGGCTATCTTATTCTGCATGTTAAAGCTACCTTGCTCTCTTTTTTTCTGTTCAGGGACCTGCTCAAGCTCAGAATTTGAGGGATTCCCTTGCAGAAGCAAAATCTGATATTGTTGTCAAGGTAATCTCTAATTGCATCTTATTTTGATCGATTTTTCATTAGTTTTTTAGCTGATTATCTCCTTGTGCTCTTTGAGTTAATTCTTTTGTCTGAGTCTGTATTTCCTTTCCTTTGTTTGTTTTATACATCATAGATTGGGCTTAGGAAGGGCTCTCGTTCTTTTGCTGAAGCTCGTGCTGCTGGCTTTACTGAAGAGAATGGAACTTTGGGTGATATATGGGAAACTGTATCTGGCAGTGATCTCGTGTTGCTATTGATTTCTGATGCTGCACAGGTTGGTTTAGCATACTCTTGATTTGTGTTAAAATATTAGCTGAATCAATCATGAAACGAAAACAAATATAATCCGAAGCACAATACTACCAAATGTCCTATAATCGGGCTCATCCAACTAGTCGAGAGCTGATGAGGAGAGTCGTGGAGTCAATCCCGATCTCGCCTATGCCGTAACAGGCAACCGGGAGCTTAGCCGCTCATGGTGGTGATGACGGAGGCTGAAACAGTGGAAACGGAGCTGATCATGGCGAAGAGGAGGTAACCGACAGCGATATGATGTGAAGAAGGGGCGAAAACGACCAACGGACAGCCCGGAATACGAACAGCCGCGGTTCGCTGGAAAACGTTAATTTTTCGATGGGTCTCCGAAAAACGGTGGCGAAAATGGGATCCGAAGATACCGATGGAAAGCTCTGGTGATGGGGAGTTCAGATCAGGTCCTGGGGAGGTGAGAAGTCGCTGGAAATGAGCAGGATCTGGCTTGGAAGATGAAGAGTCGCGACGGCTAAATCGCAGATTCCGACGATTTTCGCGGCGACTGAAGCTAGGGAAGTGTAGATCCGGCTGTAAGGAAGGGAGATCGACCCTTGGGGAGCTGGAACATCACCGAAAAATGGCCAAAACTGGCCGGGAAGACGAAGAGTCGCGGTGGTGGAAGATGAAACGTCGCGGCTACTTCCGTGATTCGCGGTGGTGGTCCGGGACGATGGGATGATGGTGACTGGTGCACGAGGAAGCCGAAGAGTCGTCGGAGGTGGAAGACGAAGGGTCACCGGAAAACGTTATGGATGGTAGCCTCCCTGTTCACGCGATCTGCATTTTTCTTTTATAGAACAATTTGTAAAATTTCAGTTTAGTCCCTACACAATTGAAAAGTGACAAAATCAACCCCTTAAAACATAACATTTTACCCCCTAAACAGCATAAATGAGACAAAATCACCCTTAATCCATAAACCACAACCTAATATCAACTCATATACTTTCCAAAATCATTCCAAACACGTTAAATTCATAAGAAAAATATTAGGAAGCGATTTTCGTGAATAAATTCATAAATTCTTTAATTGTCTCAATATACTTCAATTTAATCACANAATCATTCCAAACACGTTAAATTCATAAGAAAAATATTAGGAAGCGATTTTCGTGAATAAATTCATAAATTCTTTAATTGTCTCAATATACTTCAATTTAATCACACATGGGGTATTTTTATCACCAAAATAGAGTCACTTTCATGACTCTAACAAACCACCAACCAATATGTCCACTAATTTACAATCCTCAAACTTGTATCTTTTTTTTTTTTTTTTTTTTTGATACCAAAAATGCGGTGGGGGAGATGCGTCTAAGGTGTATGTGACGTTGTTATACCGGAGGTCGCTAAGTACTGCTAGGCAGTTTTTAAGGCGGGTTCTGGTTTCCAACCGAAATACCCTTAAACTAGGCAAAATGCCAAAATTTTTTTTTTTTTTTTTTTTAACTGAATAAAATTAAGAAGGCTGAAACATGCACACATGCACATCCCCACTGATTTTACAAACACTCCACAACCCTCAACCAATTTCTTCGCACACGTGGGTTGTGACAACCACACTTTCTTTCCAAAACTCATAATAAGCTTGAAGAACAATAAAGTCTCTTAATGATAAAGCGGGTAGGATTGTGTTTTAGGCTCATAATCAAGATAGGGTAAACATTAAGTTCAAAGAACGAAAAATAAGGCTAAATTGTGTTTACAAAGGCTCAAAGGGTTAACTAGTGATAATGATAAAAAACAAGGGTTGGTTTGAAAGGCTCAATCGGTCCAAAAACAGCCTAAATCATTTCCTAAGTGATGTGAATTCTAGGATTTCGCCTTGAGTGATTATCAAATGAGTTCTAGAGTTTGTTGAAATCACAATAAAGTTCATGTAAACTTCATACATAACACGTCTCTAAGTAGGTGATTGAACCACTTTCAATCCACCGTTCACTAGGGTCTCAACTTCATGTCATTAATATTCACACACATCCGTAAGCAAAGGTAAAAATTAATGTCCTCCATTAGTTCTATGTTATTGCAATCACATTCCTATCATAGACATATGACTTCATCCAAGAGACAAAAATAAAACTCACAACCTAAAATAAAAGAATAAATAAAAATGCTCTCTAAATCCATACAAAAACAAATTCTGCTCAATTTAAGTTTCTTAAATTCCTACCCCCAACCAATAAAATCAACATTGTCCCCAATGTGAAGCGTAAGAGTAAAAGAAAGAGAACGTTACCGCATTCCTCAACAAAATAAAGCCTTCCAGTCATATACATCAGTCGTTCTATCAAAACAGAAAAACCACTAAACAGACCTTGTCGGCCATCAGAGTTATGCACAATAGAAGAATGGACAAAAAGAGCATGAACAAAGAACAATAAAACAAAATAGAGGAACAGTTCACAAAGACTCAAAGAACGCACAATAGACAAAATAAAAGTACATCAAAACAGAAAAATAAAAGCGACTAAAACAACTGCATTGACAACATTAACTAAAATCTACTCCTCCATACTCTCCTCAGAATCCTCATCAGGAACATCACCGTGCTCCTCACCCACCGGGTGCACAAAATCAGTCCATTCACACCCCGGTGCTGTTATCCCAGCATGAGCAAGTTGCAATCTTTGCATCTCATGTTGCACCCTCATTTGCCCATTCATCCATGTCATCCAGGCCTCTTGACGATTCTGTTGCTGTTTCAACTTTTCGATGTCTTCATTCAGCTTCAACAATTGATCTTTTTGGGAAAGCTTCGATGATAAAGATGCTTTGGTCCTGTGTGCCTCTACTCTACCCCCACTGGTTAAATTTTGCAGAAACTGCACGGTAAGACACACTCCTTGGGGAATAAAAACTTCTTCAGCATTCAATGGCACTTCCGCTTGCGTACATAATGCAGTAATTAGGTGGGGAAAATAAAAGCCCATCTTGGTACGCTTTGCCGAATGGGTAATCTCTTGAAAGATAATTTCACCCACATTCATCCTCATCTTCTGGCGGATAGCATACATTAAGATTGCCCTAGCTTTTCTAACAATACTCATGTGCTTGGATGGCATCAATCGAGAGCATAAAAAATATAACCACATGCGCGAAATTGAGTCCAAGAACTTACTTTCAAAACGGATGTGTTCCCAGCCGCAATAAACCATGTAGCTCTCCCTTCAGTCAAAGAGTTTATTACTGCATCAAAATCCACTTGTTGCTTGAATGTGGCATAGGCATCGTCATCTAAATCAACTTACGGCAGCCCATAAAATTTATTAATCGCAGCTGCATTAAACACGATCTCTTTACCTCTTACTATGGTTCTCCCGTCAACGTTATCAGGAGCGTTGGCATAAAACTCCTTTACCACAGAGGCAACAGTTGGCGCCGGGGGCTCTTTGCAAAATTTCTCCCAACCCAGAGCTTGAATCACATAAGTTATTCCCTCAAAAGCTTCTGTAAACACCAGCCCTCGTTCTTCAATAAATCGCCCCGGTTGCTTTGCAAAATTTTCATACCTTTCCTAAGCAGCCTAGCTAACAAACCAGGTATCACTAGAGGCCTGCCTTTTACCTTTTTCTCTCCTATCAATTCCGAGCTTTCTTTTGGGTGCCATTATCATTATTTCGAACTCAATCCAAACACTCAGTGAAATCACCCTCAATCTCAACGAAAATCACCTCACTCCCACAAAAATCAATTACCCTTCTTCAATCAAACACAATCACAGAAATAAACATTCCCACGAAAATCAACAAATCTCTATCAATATTCACAACCAACACAAAATCATCCACACTTCCACAAAACTCAGATCAATGGATTCCACCCTTCCACACTCAATATTTCAATGCAAAATGGTTGAGAAACACTTACTTGAATCTTGTTCTGTCCAAATACGCCTTGAATTGAAACAGATTAGATGAATTTTTGAAAACCCCCAATTTTGCTTTTGAAACCCTAACCTTGATTTGTTTTCGCGAAAATCCCTCTTGCCTTCTAAATCTGCATAATGTGATGGGGATTTGAATGTGTTAGTAAGCAATGGAGTAGAAAATTTAAAATGGGTTGAAGAAATTGTGAGGAAATAAAAAAAATTTGGTGAAAGGCAACTGTGGAAGAGAAGATCAGGTAATGGAAAATGTTTTAACTAGAAGAAGAAAAGGCTGATTTAAACGCAATATTGCGTTGCCTGGTGTGATTGCTGCAGCGATCATATGAGTCGCTGCGGCGATCGCTGTTATCGTTGCGGCGTCACTGGATTCACGCTCGCTGCAGTGATGAGACTCGTTACCGCGGCGAGCGTGATTAATTTCAGATGTGTTCTGTCATGCGCGTAAGTCACACTCGCTGCAGCGATTAAATGTACCGTCGCGGCGAGCGTGATGGGTCTTCTGTTTGATCCTTGAGTGCGTTTTGTCAAGCACCTGAAAAACAGTCTGAAATCCTGAATTAACAAACTAAAATTGCAACATGATAACACAACCAAAAAACACAATAATAAAATTAAAAATAAAAATTACTAACTAAAAACGCACTAAATAAAATAAAATAAAACACAAGCGGAATCGAAAATTTGGGTTGCCTCCCAAAAAGCGCTTGTTTAAAGTCTTAAGCTCGACTCCTTTTCTGTCGTCAATTAGGATGCTGAAGAAGAATTGAAACTCTCTCGTCGGCATTCCCATTCTCAATATAAGGTTTCAGTCTTTGCCCGTTGACTTTGAATGTTCCCTTCGTCGGCTGGTGAAGCTTTATCGCCCCATGCGAAAACACTCGATGAATGATGAGCGGGCCAGACCATCTTGAGTGCAATTTTCCTGGAAAAAGTCGCAGTCTCGAGTTGAACAACAGCACTTTGTCGCCCTTCTTGAATTCCTTATTCACAATGTGTTTGTCATGCCACTGCTTAGTCTTTTCTTTGTAAATCCGGGCATTCTCATATGCATCATTGCAAAACTCTTCCATCTCATTGAGTTGCAGTAAACGTTTTGCTCCAGCGGCTTGTAGATCAAAATTTAGAAACTTTACTGCCCAATACGACCTGTGCTCTAACTCCACTGGCAAGTGACAAGCTTTCCGTAAACCATCCTATAGGACGACATTCCTATTGGTGTTTTGAATGTCGTCCTATACGCCCATAGTGCATCATCAAGCTTAGTTGCCCAATCCTTTCGAAAGGTGTTCATTGTCTTCTCCAGGATTCGTTTCAGCTCCCTATTTGAAACTTCGACTTGGCCACTGGTTTACGGGTGATATGGGGTTGCAACTCGATGTGTAACTCCATACTTGCTTAACAATGCTGTGAATTGACGATTGCAAAAGTGAGAACCACCATCACTGATAATGGCTCTTGGCGTGCCAAACCTTGAAAAGATATTCTTCTTTACGAACTTGATAACGACACGAGCATCGTTTGTTGGCAACGTGGCAGCTTCCTCCCACTTCGACACATAATCTACAGTAACCAAAATGAAACGGTTAGAAAACGAAGAAGGAAAAGGTCCCATAAAATCTATCCCCTAAACATCAAACAATTCTACTTCTAGGATATTATTTAAAGGCATGGCATTTCTCCTAGAAATATTCCCAACCCGTTGACACTCATCACAACTCATCACAAAATGAAAAGCATCTTAAAAAAGAGTAGGCCAAAAAAATCCTGATTAAAGAACTTTTGCAGCGGTCTTTGTCGAACCGAAATGACCACCAACTTCCATTGAGTGACAGTGACAAAGTATATTCGTCATCTCTTTCTCTAGCACACATCGTCTTATCATCTGATCAGCGCAATGCTTGTACAAAAATGGATCCTCCCAGAAGTAATGCTTTAAATCTGCAAAAAATTTCTTTCGTCTCTGGGAGTTCATTCTAGGGGGCATAACCTTTCGCGCCAAGTAGTTAGCAATGTTCGCAAACCATGGTCCTTCTTGAATAGCAAACAATTGCTCATCCGGGAAGTATTCGTTGATTGGCTTTTCTTCCTCTCGAACTTCTTCATTGGACTCCAATCGGGATAAATGGTCAGCCACTTGATTTTCTATTCCTTTCTTATCCTTGATCTCCAAGTCGAATTCCTATAGGAGCAATACCCATCGTAATAATGTTGGCTTGGAGTCCCGTTTTGCTAGGAGGTATTTTAATGCAGCATGGTCTGTGTACACGATGACCTTGGTACCTAGCAAATAAGAACGAAACTTATCAATAGAAAATACTACTGCTAAAAATTCTTACTCCTCCATACTCTCCTCAGAATCCTCATCAGAAACATCACTGTGCTCCTCATCTGCCGGGTACACAAAATCAGTCCATTCACACCCCGGTACTGCTATCCCTAGCAACAGCGCCAAAAACTTGACAGGCTATTCGCAAGTGTACGAAATTGTGCAAGTAGTAAAACTTGAGTAAACGAGTGTCGAATCCCAAGGGAACTACCTACCAAGTACCGAACTAGTCTATTCTATTACTATTTGATGAAACAGAACTTTAAGAATGGCTTTAATGAAATAAAATAATAAACTAAAAACTAAGCACTAAATAAAGACAGAATTTGTAAACACTTTGAAGTAAAAATCAATATGACTAAACCTAGGGCATAGATTTCACACCAATTTAATCCTATGCATTGACATATTTTGTTAACCTAATCAAGCGTATTCTAAAAGCCAAATCCCCTATTATTCCACTAACTCTCTCTCGAGCAATTAGAAAATTAACCCTTAAGCAACAACCCAAGATATCTCTAAGTTGGATTTAAGAGCTAAGAGATCATTAAGCTCTATGGAATTTACCGGAGCCTCACAGATCGCGGTAACCTATCTCTAGCGTTCGCTCAATCTATGGTTTTATTACCTAAGACAAATCAGCTTTCATCTCTCGATCTCAACCTAACCCATGATATCATTCAACTCTCAGGCCCTTGAGAATTGAAAGCATTATGCAAAATAATAAAACTTAGAATTAAAAGCTCAATAAGAATTAACAACAATCCAAGTCAACACATATTCATAAATTGGGCTACATCTTAGCCCTAGAAAAGAAAATTAGTTCATAATGAAAATAACAAAATCCATCATTCTATTCAATGACATCAGTTCAAGAAAGAAAAAGATAAAAACTTCTCTAATCGGTGAACGAGAGCTCTCAGGATCCCGATCTCCAACTTGATAGCCGTCTTCTTCCTCCTCCAAAAGTCCTCTTTAATTTCTTAAAAACTCTCTTTTATATCCCTGGGGTTCTTGGTTGTGCTTAGGAAAAATATTAGAAAACTTAGCCCATTCAGATTCAGATTAGGGTAATGAATTAACACAAACCCATGACCCATCGCCGCGGCGGTAATAATGGTCGCCGTGGTGATCGTTCTTTCTGTCCAAAACATCTGTAATATTCAGAATGAGATGAACTCATCAACACAAACATTGTAGCTCTCTGAATAAGCTTTCCAACGCCACCAGAATCATCAAATTCTGACTTCTACAGCTCAAGTTATGACAGAAACATCGAGACATACTCATGATGAAGAATTTCCAGATTTTCCGTAACATCTTCGACGTGCCACAACTCCCTCATTTCGACCCTGATTCTTGTGCCGTTTGTTCCTACGCGTCGTGAATCCTATCGACATCGTTCTTTTCCCTTCAATAACCTGTTTGAGCCTGAAAACACTCAATATGCACCCGTGATCCCATAAATGGTATTTATGAAAGAAATAATCCAAATTCCACACTTTAAACACATTTTTCCATAAATAAACCAATTAAATCACTAACAAAATATAAACATTCAAGCTCTTATCAGTATGGCAAGCGGATAAGGAAAAGGATCTTCGACACGAACGTTGGGTAGCTACTATTAGACTGTTACCTGAGTACCCAAATGTTTCTTCAACAAAGATATGAGGAAAACTAGATGGATACAAATTCTAGGTGGTAACTCCAATTTGTAAGCGACAACTCTAATACGTTGAACGACTAGGAAGGGACATAAAACTTAGCTGCTAGCTTGTGTGATTGTCATCGAGAGATCAAAGACTGCCTATACTCTTGCAACTTTAAATACACATAATTGCCAACTTGAAATTCTCTCTCCCTATGCTTTGAGTCATAAATTTTTTTCATCGTATTTTGAGCTTGAGCTATTTTGTCCCTGGCTTCTCTCACAATAGAATCTCTTTCAATGAGTTGCTGCTCCACGAAAGCAACCTTAGCAGTGCCTGGAACATATGTCAACAAGTTTGGTGCTTCTCTTCCATAAACCACTTCAAACGGTGTTCTTCCAATTGTAGAATGAAAGTTGGTGTTGTAACAGAACTCTGCCCAGGACAACCACTTATACCATTTCCGCAGCTAAGAACTTGTGAAACAATGAAGATACATCTCCAAGGTTCAATTGACTACTTCGGTTTGGCCATTTGTCTGGGGATGATACGTCGAACTGAAGTTAATAGCAGTTCTGTTTAGCCTAAATAGTTATTTCCAAAACATTCTGGTGAATGTTAGATCACGATCACATAGGATAGTCTTAGGCAACCCATGTAAATGAAAAACATTGTCGAAGAAAACTTGAGCAACTCCAATGGCGGTGTAAGGATGGGTAAGAGCCATGAAGTGGGCGTATTTCGACAGTCTATCAACGACTACCAAAATAGTAGTTTTCCATTTGAATTCGGCAAATCGTCAATGAATTCCATTGAAATGTCCTTCCAAATTTTGGTGGGATTTGGGAGCGGTTGAAGAAGCCTTACTGCCGAAGTTTGTTCTACCTTGTTTTGTTGACAAACATCACACTCTTAAATAAATCTTCTAACTTTTCCTTTTAACTCCTTGAAATAAAAGTTGGCCCTTACTCGATGAACTGTTTTTAAGAAACCTTCATGTGTGTTATTATGAAACTGTTGGATGATCTGATTAATTAACCTAGAGCCTTCGTCTAAGTAAATCTTTTCCTTGTAAAATAGGATGCCATTGTGAACTTGCCAAGGTCCCACAACCTTATCTTCTTGCACCAACTGTATGAGATTTTGAGTTTTTGGGTTGGAAGTATTTTCCTCCCGTATGGTTTCAAGCCAATTAGGAATTGGTTGAGACAATGCTAGAAATGTCGCATGATTTCCCTATCTTGGTTATTGGTTTCTTCCTCCTTTCGGGAAAGCGCATCTGCCATAATGTTTTATTTTCCTTTTTTATACTTCACGGTAAAGTTTAAGCCCATGAGTTTTAATAGCCATCTTTGTTGAGCAAAAGTAGTGATCTTTTGAGACCATAAGTGTTTCAAGTTTTGATGGTTAGTTTGCACAATAAATTGTCTGCCAATGAGGTAGGGTTTCCATTATTGGACTGCCATAACTAAAGCTAAGACCCCCTTCTCGTAAGTTGAGAAGAGAAGATGCCTCCCTTGCAAGGCATGACTGAAGAAAGCAATAGGCCTTTCTTGCCTCAAGACTGCACCAACATTGGATCTTGATACATCGCATTCTATGATGAACTCTTTAGAGAAATTAGGAAGTGCAAGAATTGGAGCTTGTGTCATAGCCCTCTTGAGAGTGTCAAAAGCTTCCTCGGCCACCATAGTCCAATTGAAATTATTCTTCTTTAGCATTTTGGTAAGGGGGCTTGCAATTCTATCGAAATCTTTAATGAATTTGCGGTAGAACCCACATAAGTCTTCACAGTTTTCGACTTGGGCCAATTTAAGATAGCCTCAATTTTTTCTAGATCTACCCCAACTCCCAAATTAGAAAAAAATATGGCCAAGGTACTTAACTTCTCGTTGGCCAAAATGACATTTTTCCAATTTTACAAACAATTGGTGATTTTGTAAAATGAAAAATATAATTTCTAAATGTTTAATATGATCAGCCCAATTCTTGATATAAATTAGAATATCATCGAAAAAAACAAGAATAAATTCAAAGATAATCTTTAAATACCGCATTCATGAGAGATTGGAATGTTGATAGAGCATTGGTC